TATCCATCAAAAATATGATCAAACTCTGCTCAAAATGACAAGCTTTGATTGCTCGTACCATTACTGTTCAGAGTTAGATTATATATCCCTCACCTCTTATCTGCCTAGCTCCTATTATCTACCAGAATGTGGAAATGGAATGCGATCTCATTCCCCATGTTGTTAAAACATGATGTGATAAAAATACAATATTCATTATAGCCTCGATAGGTATAACCATTGAAACTAACTTCAAAAAGCACTTGCACTCCCATCAGAGGCTCAGTGACTAATTGTGTAAAAGCTATATCATATTTAACATCTTACATCCGATGATCTGTTTATCTGCTCCAACATATCTCTCTCCGGAATAACATGGTTAAATTGAGCTGAGCTGGACTCGCTTATGTCAATTAAAATAGTATCTAGAGGTTTTTAGGGGTGAATATTTGCTTATTTAAGTTTATTTTTATTATTTTGTATATTTGTATTGTGGAGGTTGAGCTGGTTACAAGCTAAGGTTAATTAATTGCTATTATTATTATATTACTATTTGACCAAAACCCATAATCATGGGTAGAGTGGACCGCTGCCAGTGTCTCTCTTTCCCAAACAAAAGGAAATGATATTAATTTGATTGACCGTTCTCAAATGCAAAATGATACCGAGAATGAAATCGGTCGCTCGCTTTTCCCATTCATTCACGGCTTACGAATTGTAATAAGTTTCGATTGATTAGGTACATCAATCAGATGCTGTAAAAATCTCTTTGGGTTGCGTTCGGGTCGATACCTAGTATTTCGGGGTAAGGGTGGTAGTTATTACTTATTGAATTAGCTGAAGTTTATTGAATCTTTATTGCCGAGTACAGCTGCCTTTGGGTAGTTCTTCTTAATCTATTACAATTGTAAATGAATGGGAAAAGCGAGCGACCGATTTCATTCTCGGTATCATTTTGCATTTGAGAACGGTCAATCAAATTAATATCATTTCCTTTTGTTTGGGAAAGAGAGACACTGGCAGCGGTCCACTCTACCCATGATTATGGGTTTTGGTCAAATATCATCTCTTTTTGATTATAATGTCAGGGTACTTTATAAAGTCGAAATATAAACTGATATCTTCATTAATAAGGAGGAAGTTTCAACAATTTCGAAATTTTTCCTTTAAAAACATTTCCTTGTGTTTAGGTAAGCATATCGGTCGATCACTGACTGAATATGCCACTTAATACTCATTCAAGTTGGCATTAAATTCATTTATAATGACATTAAACTGTCGTGGCAAAGCAGAATTTGTTGGAAATCACGAATGAGCAAAATTCTCACCTTTCGCACGTGCAAACTTTGAGCGGACGTTGCGTGCGCATCCAATATTGAATCGCCGTAAATTTTTGCATGTAATTGTTTTATATATAGCTTGATAAGCACGCAAAGTTTCAAAGTATTTCAAGAAGAACTGTTATCACAACGGCACTCTAAAGTTGACAGAAAATGACGAAAACAGCAATTTTCAGTGATTTTAGCAATTTTCTATCAATTTGGGCGTGTCCCCACGTGTGCAACTTTTCGATTTTTAACTTTAAAACTAGCCTAATGCACAATTTATACCTATAAGAAGCAGAACTGAGCTCCACAACCCAAGGCATGGCCCAACACCAGAGAATACTAAATCGCAAAATTGACGTTTTTATAAAATAATTCTTCAAAAAAGCACAAACTTCAATGACGAATATCTTTATGAAGGAGCAAGCTAGAAAAATTTTCCGGTAGATTTTCAGAATGCTTGAACAATTATCTAAGATAAAAATTTCCTCAGATTTTGAATACAATTACTTTTTAATGGTGTAAAATCATTTTTAAAAGTTATTACTTTGTCAAAAATCAAGTTTTAAAAACGGTTAATTTGATGACGTCATCAAGGGGTGTTCATGACGTCAAATAATTTGTTTATACAATGTAAACTAAAGTGTAAACAATGATTTTCAAGACCTGTGGTCGGAAATGGCTGTATCTTTTATACTTTTGAATCTATGGACAATTAAATACAGGCTACAATTGACTGGCAAAGCGTCTATCCCTGAATATATATATATATATGTATATATATAGATAGATATCACGACAATCTGTCGTAAAACAGGGGTTCTAGAAAACCCACTTCCCGATGTTCCTGAAACCTGAAACTTTTTTTGCAGTCGATTTGGTCAACGTCTAGACGCCCTGAAAAATTTCAGATCTCTAACTCGATTTTAACATGGTTTTTAAGGCACCTGAATATGGCGATTTTGGGTTTTTTACCGAATTTCGTATAACAGTGCTGGCGAGTATTTTATGCAAATTTCTTAAAAATCTCAACATAACTATTTTTTATTCCTGTCATCTTTGACATCAAATTAGAATGTTTTGAACTAAAAATAAATCTGCTGAACGACTTCCTATGAGTCTTAATGCCTGAAAAACTCCTGCCGGAGGCGGCGGCCTTCGGCCGCCGCCTCCGGCCGGAGTGCACGCTTCGCGTGCACGAAAGAGGCTTGTAACGTGTACCAAAGGGGGTATGATAGTAAAGGGGGTATAATAGTAAAGGGGGTACATAGTATACCCACAATAAATGCACCGGTCGTGCTTGCCAGCACTGTGATTAAATAAAAGTTCTAAACAAGGGATAGGTAAAACTAAAAACAACGCCAAAGTCTAATCTTTCCCTAAAACAAATAACTAAATATCAAAACTTGAAGTTTATTAGTTAATTAGTTAATTCGTTGCTAATTAATTGCTCCCAAATCACCCAATTATCACCAAAAAAACACCAAAGAGGAAATTAACAAGTAAACTAAGATTTGGTAGAAGGATCATTTACATATAACGTAATTCAGATGTCAGCCATTTTATACCCTCTCCAACGTTAAACGCAGCTTTTGTCTTTAAAAAACTTAACAGGCACACGAAAAGAGCTGCTGTAAGCGAGGTGACAAAACGTCTGAGATGACTGTCAAGGTGACAATGAAATAAGTTGGTGTAGACCCCCTGGCGAGTTAAGTGACACCTTCTGGTGGAGTTACAGGTGATCACGTGACAGTGACTTCAAGCTGTGTGCAGTGACTCAAGAGCTTTTACCTCTGATAGCGAATAATCAGAGGATACTGAGGAGACTTGTTAGAGGACACTGTTAGAGGACACGTACTGTAGTGCGACACGTACTGTAGTGCGACACGTACTGTAGTGCGACACGTACTGTAGTGCGACACGTACTGTAGTGCAACACGTACTGTAGTGCGACACGTACTGTAGTGCGACACGTACTGTAGTGCGACACGTACTGTAGTGCAACACGTACTGTAGTGCGACACGTACTGTAGTGCGACACGTACTGTAGTGTGACACGTACTGTAGTGCAACACGTACTGTAGTGCGACACGTACTGTAGTGCGACACGTACTGTAGTGCGACACGTACTGTAGTGTGACACGTACTGTAGTGCGACACGTACTGTAGTGCAACACGTACTGTAGTGCGACACGTACTGTAGTGCGACACGTACTGTAGTGCGACACGTACTGTAGTGCGACACGTACTGTAGTGCGACACGTACTGTAGTGCGACACGTACTGTAGTGCGACACGTACTGTAGTGCGACACGTACTGTAGTGCGACACGTACTGTAGTGCGACACGTACTGTAGTGCGACACGTACTGTAGTGCGACATGTACTGTAGTGCGACACGTACTGTAGTGCGACACGTACTGTAGTGCGACACGTACTGTAGTGCGACACGTACTGTAGTGCGACACGTACTGTAGTGCGACACGTACTGTAGTGCGATATGTACTGTAGTGCGACGCGTACCCTATATAGACCTTATGTATGATATTCGAATCAAGTAGAACTAAAGAAAACGCGAAATTTAAATTATTAAATTCACGGTTCAAAAATGAAATAGAACATTATAAATGAAATAAACATTAAACATCTTATTAACAAATCCATTCGATCCACACAAAAAATATGCTGTTCTTTTGGAGAAATGGCGAGGTTGATTGGAATAAGCGGTGAAATACTGAAATGGTGACATAATGCAAAATAAAGAGAAAAAATTTCACTGACATATTGAAATGAGAAAAATAGATGACAATGAGAATAGGAGAAGAGTGAAACGACAAATTGACCAAGTGACTGAGTGACTCGTTGTCATGGAAACCAGAAAGTGCAGTCGTTCAAGTTCGCTAACGAGGAACTGTGACAGTAAGTGTTCATGAAATCCCATCATTAAGAACACTTTTTAAATGTAACCACGCTGACACAGTGTTAGTAACACCATGGTGTTACATCACCATGGTGTTACGTCACCATGGTGTTACGTCACCATGGTGATTGTGGCGAAGTTGTAGCTCATGATTTACAAAGAACCGTTCAAAATGACATTGTGAATGGTGTGATCTGGTGTGATAGTAGGTATGATGGAAATAGGATGCTTTAGTTAGAGTTGATAATGAAGCACTGCAACCTGGTGCTCATTTACCTAGCTTGCTATTTACTAGCTTTACTATTTACTACTAGCTTGCTAGAAGTATCTACTTACCTAGCTTGCTAGTAGTATTCTATTGCTTGCTTATCTCACGGATAGTGAAAGAAGTGGAAAGAGCACCGTGCAGAGGGAATGGCGCGCCAGGTAATGCCACTGCAAGCTGGTGCTCGTTTAGCTCAACATTCATTCCACTATATAATATGTATTTCCACTGCATATATAGTGCAGATAAATGAAATAGCACCATATTATATATTCCACTATATAATATGTATTTCCACTGCATATTGATATATACTATATAGTGCAGATAAAGGAAATAGCACCATATTATATATTTCCGCTATATATTTTATTTAGGTTCGGTTCAAGCAGCTTCAGTGGAGAGGTTAATTCAGTCAATAAGCTAAAACTCCTATTGTTAAGTTCATGAATAAATGTAGTGATATTATATCTTGCAAAATGCAAATATGGCGATACAGTGAAATTCAATAATGTCAGGAAATGTTGGGAAATATTATAATTATGTTAAACCTCTTATATACACACATAACATCACAAATAATCACAAATAGTTACATATTATTATTTATTTTATTTTATTCTACACAGTTTGACTGTAATCGTTATGGGATTTTCACATATGGTTTTAATGTGTGATATTTGATAGGTGAATTTACAGCTGCAATCAATTAATTACATAATAAATGAATTAGTTAAATAATTAATTGGTTAAATAATCAATCTAATAACCTTCACATAATCCCCATAGAATAACCAAAACTAGAAAGTTATTCAATGAACAACCTGAGTCAAATAACAAATAATCTCTGTTTAAATATCGATATTAGCCCTCAGCAACCAACATCCGTTAATTGAAATTCTTAAATCCGTATTATCGACCCAAAGATAAGTCACTTGAAACAGATTGATCAAAAATGCTTTAATTTCAAACTGACTGTTTGTTAGCCGATAATAATCTCAAAGTTCATATTCTAGTAAAGACCTTTTCTCTAATTATGGATAAAACCCGAAATCTGACGGACCTGCCCTGACCTCTACATGGTCTACACATACAGTCCACTATAACAGTTAAAACCCGACTCACCGGGCTTTTTCTCAGATACCCCGATAGTGATAATTTACATGCATTTACTGCAAATCAAAACCACGTGGTAAATTCTCTTCCCCGGAAAACCCGGTTTATCGCGGTTAAACTGTATAATCCTGACACTAGTATACACATAATCCTGCCACTAGTATACACATAATCCTGCCACAAGTATACACACAATACACATAATCCTGCCACTAGTATACACATAATCCTGCCACTGGTATACACATAATCCTGCCACTAGTATACAAACAATCATGCCACTAGTATACACATAATCCTGCCACTAGTATACACATAATCCTGCCACTGGTATACACATAATCCTGCCACTAGTATACACATAATCCTGCCACTAGTATACACATAATCCTGCCACTAGTATACACATAATCCTGCCACTAGTATATTGATATTGTCAATAAATTGTAAAACCACACACATAACGGGTTAGCTAATACTATAATAGATCTGGATACTAGTGGGGGTTGTATTTGCTTTGACACGTGACAGTGATTCTGGGATTCGATTGGTCAATGCTGGAAGCTGATTGGTTAATACCTTTCACGTGTCAGTAAACATTTCCACAAGCATCTCGATCTGTAACAAAGCTAAAAGGAGGAGTTTATCAATACGGGAACCGTCCGTATAACTTTAGCTGTAAAGCTTAAGCATACCACACATTTAACCAGTTTTATAATGTCTGAATACAAGTGCTAAACATTAATTACACATTTGCGAAGATTTCAAAGTGTGACATTGTTGTAACACTCTTGTGACACTGTTTTGACACTCTTGTGACACTTTTGTGACACTCTTGTGACACTCTTGTAACGCATCTATTAGCTGTTATTCAGAGTTGTTAAGTTTCATTTTGCTTCCAATTGTTGATGCGTGTTCGTAAGAGTTACTAAGAGTCACTAAGAAGCTAAGAGTCACTAAGAGTCACTCAGTGTCACTAAGTGTCACTAAGTGTCACTAAGTGTCACTAAGAGTCACTAAGTGGTACTAAGTGTCACTCAGTGTCACTAAGAATCACTAAGAGTCACTAAGAATCACTAAGAGTCACTAAGAGTCACTAAGAGTCACTAAGAGTCACTAAGTGTTGGAAGTGTTACGGTGTCGCTACTTTGGTAGTGTTAGATTTATGGTAGTGAATGTTGAGCCATGTCTCTCCTATTCGTTTCCAAACTCTGCTTTCGTTAGAGTGTATTGAGTAGATTGTATTGGTCCTGAGGTGAAGGAAATTGGAAAATTAATAGCTTAACTTATAGATAACATCTAAATGATGTATAACATTTCAATAATAATACAGTAAACCCAGATTTAAAGCGGAATTTGGGGAAATGAAAAATTTGCGGTAAATCGGGTTTTGCGGTAAATCGGGTTTTTGATTGTTCACATAATGTACTTAAAGCCCTCATTTTGGGAAAGAAGATTATCGCGCGGTAAATCGGGATTTGCAGTAGTTCAGAGTATGATAAATGGAAGTTTTCCTGTAGATGATATTAACTTCAGTAATATGTATTATGTAACAATTAAGGCCCTAGATATACGGTGTGTAACACGTCACGTAATGTGTTACGTGTCGTCTAGCTAGGACCAGAGAATATTACAGTACATAAGAAATAAAAAACACTAAATTTATAGTGAAACAGGGGTGAAATGAAACAAAAAGTAATTGGACAAAAATATGCTGACAATAAAAACATCGCAATACTATGTACTTAATAAATAATTAACTACTTTTTCACTGTTTTTATTATTAATCACTACTTAATTACTGCTTTATATTATCTATTCTACTCACGAAGTATCAGCTTTCTGGCATATCCTAACGTAGGCGATAACAGCAGACTCGGGGCTCAGCATCGTGACTTGTGGATCCATTATGAGGGTCTTGTGAGGTGAAGTAGTCGTAGCTGGAGTGTTACAAGGTGTTACTTAAAGTGTTACTTTAAGTGTAACCGAGCTGTACTTAAAGTGTTAATAATTAGTGTTGCTAATTGTTACTAAATGTCAGTAATTATCAGTAACTGTTCATGTTACTAATATAAGTGTCATTGAGTGCTACTTTAAATTTGGGAACCTTTTACACTGCACCCATATTTTCAGATAGTAGTCTAGATCAGTAGCTAGCATTATCTACTAGGGGTAAGATTGTTTTGAAAATATGATAGTGTAATTAATTAATTAATTAATTGTTTAACTTACTTTCAAAATAAAAGCGCTGGAACTCCAAGCCTTTGATCATGTGACCGTGGCCTTGCGGCTCAAACCCTGTTATACTAGGGTGACACAGCTTCCTGAAATAGGTCCTTATCAACGGTATTACAACAGTGTGACAACAGTGTCACAACAGTGTGACAACAGTGTCACAACAGTGTGACAACAGTGTCACAACAGTGTCACAACAGTGTCACAACAGTGTCACAACAGTGTCACAACAGTGTCACAACAGTGTCACAACAGTGTCACAACATTGTCACAACAGTGTGACAACAGTGTCACAACAGTGTCACAACAGTGTCACAACAGTGTCACAACAGTGTCACAACAGTGTCACAACAGTATCACAACAGTGTCACAACAGTGTCACAACAGTGTCACAACAGTGTCACAACAGTGTCACAACAGTGTCACAACAGTGTCACAACAGTGTCACAACAGTGTCACAACAGTGTCACAACAGTGTCACAACAGTGTCACAACAGTGTCACAACAGTATCACAACAGTGTCACAACAGTGTGACAACAGTGTGACAACAGTATCACAACAGTGTCACAACAGTGTCACAACAGTGTCACAACAGTGTCACAACAGTGTCATAACAGTGTCACAACAGTGTCACAACAGTGTCACAACATTGTCACAACAGTGTCACAACAGTGTCACAACAGTGTCACAACAGTGTCACAACAGTGTCACAACAGTGTCACAACAGTGTCACAACAGTGTCACAACAGTGTCACAACAGTGTCACAACAGTGTCACAACAGTGTCACAACAGTGTCACAACAGTGTCACAACAGTGTCACAACATTGTCACAACAGTGTCACAACATTGTCACAACAATGTCACAACAGTGTCACAACAGTGTGACAACAGTGTGACAACAGTGTGACAACAGTGTGACAACAGTGTGACAACAGTGTGACAACAGTGTCACAACAGTATGACAACAGTGTCACAACAGTGTCACAACAGTGTCACAACATTGTCACAACAGTGTTACAACAGTATCACAACAGTGTCACAGCAGTGTGTTAAGGTTAATTTATGAGAAATTAACGAGTAATTAACAAATAATTAACACTTACGAGTAATTGATCCAGTCTCTCTTAACCTCGTAGTCTAACAACTGTTGTGTGAGGTGTTGTATCTCAGCTGCTTCCGGGCTATCTTCTCCCGCAAACGAACCTGTATATCATCAATTAGTTAGTTTATCAATAAACTAATATTTGATTAATAAACTAATTGAGTCATTACGTTGAATGATTTGGAGATTGTTTGTTAGTCACATATTATAAGTAACGTGTTGTTCAATAGACCATCTGCTAGTGGAATTAACTAACTTTCAAGTCTCAACAATTGAATTATTAATTGGTATATGAATTAATTGATTACTGTAATTTTAATTGGTATTAAATACTGCTACAGTTCGTTTGATAAAGCACAATAACTGTGTAAGTGTAACGTTTATATTAGACTGATAGTTATATTGTAGGCAACGAGAATTAAAATAAGAATTAAAATAAGCTCTGCAAACATTGCCTTGCTATCGTATAATTAAATCATGTGTCTACTGTCACAGAACATTTACACAGTGATCGCAAAACACAAGCTCTTTAGTGTAACTCTTTGGTGCAAATTAAGTAAGTACTCGATCACATAATTGCACAATTACGTTATAGAGTGGAGTTATCATAATCACTCTTGTATTAACATTTAACACATCACGTTGGGACGGTGGGTTTATTTTTCTTCCTCCTATTGCTCGTTCAAGAACATTCCACATTGAATTACTGTCCGAGCTCATGTTACACACAGCACATACCAGAGGGTGACCTAATATTGTGAATTAGGACTGTGCTTTTGTTGTGAGAGCTGCTGTGTTGTGTTTCGTAATTAGGGACATTAGTTTTTTAGTAGGAGATCTGTCGATAGTTTTACTCTACTCCCTTTTTTATTTATGTGGTGAAAAGAAAGTTAACGTTTTGTATTCGATGATCATAAAAGACTAATCTTCGATTTCTGAACCTTTGTTTTGACGACATTTTTCCCGCGGTTGGGGTGCAAATACCCTGTTATACGCAGGAGAGGTAAGTAACAAATACCCTGCCAGGAAGCGTTATAAGCAGGAGGGGAGGTTGGGAGGGAGGGGTAATCTGCATACCATTAATAAACTAATTAAATCAAGTTGAATCAATGGGATATTGTTAATTAGTCGCTTGTACCTTTGATTTGTTTTAAATTTCTAAAACTTCTACAATGATCTTCATTCTTTCATTAGATAATGTCTCCTGGATCACGTAAGAAATACATAGAAAACATCGGAAGGAAGATTTTGGAGAAACATTTCCAGAACAAAGATGATACTTGTAAACCAATGATGGTACCACCCATACCAGACTCTAGATTTATAGACAAGCTCCCAGAAGATGTTGTGTTACGAGGACAAGATGGATACGAAGAAGAAGTCAAGGTATTCAGATGTTTCGAGGAGATTAAGAGGCCCTTTACTGTGCTGCATCATGTGGAGTACACGCATGAACAGTACTCAGCATTCAAGCCTGATCACCAGTGTAACCAGAAGAATTGTTGGGGGTTAGATAAGCATCCGTGTCATCTAATGAAGAAAAATGATGAAGGAGAAACCGATTTTGTGGTTTTAGGCGAGTATTTCATAGCAGTTTTTGAGGTGAAAGGACTCTCTGTTGCCAAATATGAGACTTGCTGTTCAAAGTTAATTTCTGAGTGCAGTATCCGGAGAAGCGATATTTCTTCCTCCGTGCAGAATAAGAATACTGACAAATTCGAGGCTTGTCGTGACGATGGGTTGCGACAAAGAAAAAGAATAGTGGAACTCGTAAAATCAGTGGACTCGACACTGGACGTGTACGAGTTTACTATTTTCAGTAACATCAATCAAGACGAAGTTGACGAACAATATTTGTCAGATAAAACTCTGCTGTTCAGTGGAGATCTGAACAATTTTACGGCATGGTTTGACACTAACATTCCCCCACAAGTCGGTGATGAAGATGTGAACAGAGACATGGTGGCAGTTAAATGCTGCCTCCTCGGATTGTGGTGTATAAACGCAGATAACAAGTGGACAGATACAACATGTAGCTTGTCCTATTGTATCAACGATATTAATGATAAACTCAGAAGAGCTCTTGTAACCAAGAAGTTAGTTGATGAGGAGGTAACTGAACAAAGCCGATCGTGTGGTAAAAATAGGAAACAAAAGAAAAAACAGGTGAAAGAGAAGAATTACCCTGAAAATAATGAGATGGTGGATGCACCTGACATATTCAAGAAGTACCTAAGAGTCAAGAGTGTGACGAAAGATCAGCTGGGAGTATTTAATAGTAACGAGAGATTTCTTTTTGTTAACGGTCCTGCAGGATCTGGAAAGACTATTGCAATGATGGGAAAAGTGATTAACCTCGCTCTCACATCACCAGAGAAGAGGATACTTATTTTGTTAGTAGGAGAGGATTCCGATCCAGCATTTGAATATCACATGCAACTATTGAACGATATCACACATATTACGTGTGAGACAATAACGTACAGAGCGAGCAAAGAAGAAGGTGATATCAGTGATAGGTTGGTGAAAGCACACGTATTATTATCAAAACAGCTGTCTGATAGCACCAGTAAAATCATTTTATTGATATTTGACGATTGTTTGACTGAAAGTATGCACGATTTGATAACGACATATGATTACGTTTTCTGTGATGATTATCAGAAAATCTTTGATTATATCGTAAGGGATACTGTATCAGAACCAGGAACTGCTCATAAAAATATCATATCTGAAGGACTAATTCCTGTTTTAAAAAACAGTGATACAAATAATACTAGTATCTGGATATTGTGTGATGACGGACAATCTTTCTATGATAAGCTTAAACATGCGAGACCTGAATTTATTGCAGTTAAAACGAGTGATGATGAATTCAGAAATTATTTTGTTAACTCTCAATTATCAGTTAACCTGAGAAACACATATGAAATATCAGAGGTGTTGTCAATCATAAGGGAACACTACGAGAAAATCGATTATACCGGGACCCGGTCAGTAAAGTTACCAGAACACAAGAAAGGCCATTTTCTTCGTGGTAGTAAACCTGTCATCTATCTGTTAAAAGGTAATGAAACTACTACCTGGACAGATATTCTGATCAGAGAGCTGGATAAACTAAGAGGATCTAACAGCTGCCTTAAAAACAAGGATATCACAGTTTTAGTCAGTGCAGAGGATGCTGATGAGTGGAAACATATGAGGGATACTGTTAACAGTGTGGTAGAGAGATTTACCACTACTGACAACACAATACCGGTGAAAACTACATGGAGCTGTGTGTCAGCAGAGTGGGCTGCTGTTATCTGTATCCGCAGATACAGTACATATAGCACTACAGTTACACTACCTGATAACAGTGAGAAGGAGGTATCACCCAGTTACTTTATTCCTGAACTTTACAATGTCATATCCAGAGCTAGAGTGTACTCAACAGTGATCCTATTTGATTACAGACAAAACGATGAACGATGTGACTATGATGATAAACTTTTAGATGAACTAAGAGAACGTGGTGATGTGTGTAAAATAATAGACATAGAACCACCTTAAACTTCTGAAATTGTTGTATTTAAAGATCTGCTGCTGCAATTACTACTTTTACAAGACATAGACTCAAAGGCTATTTTACCAAATGATGTTCCTGGTTCTGATTTCTCCTCATGTAAAAGTATTAATAATGATAAGACATGTGTGCAATAATTGGACGCTAATAGTAATACGATTTCAAACAAATATTCAGTAGTAGTACAGCTAGTATAGGGGAGGGGGTTTGGAATAGATTGCCATTATTTCTACAAAACAGCCATGATTAAAGTGGACATCTGACTTACTAAACGTCCCCAAATGTATGTGTAACTAGCTGGAAATTAGGTTTCAAATCGTATTACAGTTGTTTAGGGTGTAAAGATAAAACTTGTTTGATAGCATTATAGCTCTCTTTCGTAGATGAAAATAATTGAATAAATATTATTTGATATTATCACCGGACTGTGCTACAAAATAAAATGGGGGTCGCGCTTGCCAGCACTAAGATGTTTAGTCAGGCACTTTGATCATTGTCTTGTGACGAAATTTTCTATTTTTACATATTATATAAGGAATTATCACACAGTTAGCATGTACTGTTGTAACCTCGGTTTTTTAATCAATGCAACGTTACAGCAACGTGACTTTTATAACTTTATACATAAATTGTATTTTAAAATATTTATTGTGTTGTGATTTTTTTATGAATTACCACACGGTTAGTTTGTAGTATTTAAGTGGGTGTCCAACGTTTCAGTAACGTGATAGTAGTAATCTTAAAAACATACAAAATGTATGAACATGTAATGTTGCCGTGATTTTCGTTTTACAAAGGAACACATGAAATATTACTAACGAGTTCCCCCAAAACATTACAGTTACAAAAACTTCTCCCCGACAAAAACTCGGGGTTCTTAGGGAAAAGTAGCAGTACAGATTTACAGTGATTTTATTTACAATGAAATGAACAAATTTTCTTGACATTGAAATTATTTTCTTTGGGTTCCACATTGATATGATGGATTTAAAATGAGTATAATTCTTCGTTTTTATTATTTCATTGCCTGAAATTAACCAATTCTTATCATAACAACCAGCAGTTACCATGGTAACCACTTGATAACAACTGAGTAACCACTTGGTAACCACTTAGTAACCACTCAGTAATCAGTAGTTACCATGGTAACCACTTAGTAACCAGTAACCACTAGCAACCATGGCCATGGTAACCACTTAGTAACCACTTAGTAACCACTAAGAAACCATGGTAACCAGTTAGATATACGATATAACGGTATTCACCTGGTAAACTGATAGGTTGTTCTGCGATGAGATCTGTTATAATGTCTCCAGCATCTTTAGGCTTCTTAGTGAATATCCCTGAAAGAGGACTGTAATTAAAATAAATAACACAGTATTTCAGTGATCCACGTGACACTTAACACGTGACACTTAACACGTGACACTTAACACGTGACACTTAACAGGTAACATGGGTTTATCACACTTATTTAAAAGTTAACTTATTAATATTATTTAATTTCATCATCAGTATTTCTGTCAGTGTAAGAAAAAGTAAAGTCCTGACTCTCTTGAATTGTATTTTAAGATACAAGTTATTTCTTCATTATTATTGTTATTGCATTTTAAGTTCCAAGCTCCAAGTCTTCCTCCCTGTCGTCATGTTTTGTGTACTTAACGTTTCAGTGAGTAAGTTTTACTTTAAAATAATTAGAAAAAGAATATTAACAGGTCGTAGTTTTTATGTTTACATATCACTGTCAATGAAAGTTTCCCCACAAAAAAGAGCTGAGAGCATTTTTCTCTCGAATTCTTTAAGACCCACTTTTTAAAATGCTTTTAGACATGTTGCTCTGGTGTCGCCCATTCTCCACCGTGAGTCGTGTGTCAGACACCTTGGTGACCAGTTGTAACCTAGGTAACCACTTGGTAACCGGTTGGTAACCAGTTGGTAATCACTTAGTAACCAATTAGTGGTCACTTAGTAACCAGTAAGTTGCTAGATGATTAGAATGATCGTGTCAGTTCTACAGCTAAGCTTTTAGTTGGGATCATTTTCTGCTGTAAGTGTTCCAACTTTTGTGACGACGACTTTTGTGACGACAACTTTTGTGACGACAACTTTTGTGACGACGACTTTTGTGACGACGTTTCAGGACTTTCCACAGCTACTACAGGTTTTGAGGTTTTAATTTGATAGAACCATGAACTAAAGCAATAACTGATAACTGATAACTGGGAGTTTACCAAAACTTTATATTCCAAGCATAACAATCACAGAACTGGACGGAAACCAAAATACTACTTTATATGTTTTGTTCGGGAATCGGGAGGGAGGAGGGGTGGTGATAAAATGCTACTTTATATGTTTTGTTTGGGAGGGAGGATTATGAGATTATCGTAGTGAATTACTGTACTTTGAATTTACTATGAACGTACCATTACGTTAAAATGCCATTTTAATTATTAACCAAGGATAACAGATCATCAGCTGGAGATTGGTACAAGATAAATAACGAGGAGAGCAAGTGTAGGTAAATTACAGGGTAAGATGTACTCGATAAGTAATTATGTAATTATGTAATTAGTCATTATCAAGCACATTACCGATAATTAACACGTGATGGAGCTTCATAGAACTTCCAGGGAGCACGTGCTAATCTGTTATTACCACGTGCTAACTGCTAATGAGACATTAGTTGCAAGTCAGTTGTCAAGCCTAACCCCACAACCCCCCCCCCCCCCCCCCCCCCCCCCTAGGCCATAGTGTGTGATGGGAGTGGTTCAGAACAGGATATATTTTTTAAGTTCGACACTTTCCCACGGTTCATCAGATTTTAATTTTGGGACTAGTGCAGAATAAAAGCTTCAAAAATGCGACTGTAAAACGCTAATTCTAAACAACTAAACACATCCCCGGAGAGTATACAGGTAAAAGCTATCAGTCCATCAGTTACTGATCAAAGAGATTAGCAAAACTCTAAAGAGGACCCGTAAGCCCTGAAGTGGGCAGGCATGGCTCCAGCTCAAAATCTTTGGTGGGTGCGCACTCACCCGCACCTACACGGTGGAGCCATGCCTGGAAGGGGAACTGGGATGTATGGAGGAGTTATCTGGTAGAGAAAGGAGTTAGTTCCGGGCTGGGAGCCGTACATGGTTGTGGTACACAGTGGGCATGAAAATCTAAAAGAAGCAACAATTAGGGTAACCCAGAGAACAGTGAGAACAGTGCAGTGTGTATAACAATACCGTGTTCTCACTCATCGTAATATAATGGGGCCCGAGAGCACAACGACTTGTATAGACTAATCTGAATAACAATGTCTACACAATATTCATAATCTACACAGGCATCTACTTAACAATGTCTGCACAATCTTCATAATCTACACAGGCATCTACTTAACAATGTCTACACAATATTCATAATCTACACAGGCATCTACTTAACAATGTCTACACAATACTCATAATCTACACAGGCATCTATTTAACAATGTCTACACAATATTCATAATCTACACAGGCATCTACTTAACAATGTCTACACAATATTCGTAATCTACACAGGCATATACTTAACAATGTCTACACAATATTCGTAATCTACACAGGCATCGTTGGCGGGGAAAAATTGGGGTCCGCAGAAAAGTTGGGGTCCGCAGATAAGTTTTCAAAGGTCACACAATTATAATAATTGTAAAGCCTCATTTAATTTGAAGGGAATGAAATGGCCGCGGGGTTTTACTAAACGGAATTCCACCTCAACACCTCTAGTCTTTAAGTTATAGTTTAAAAGTATTTTCTATCAAGTTGAACAAGGACACCCCTAGCTGTTAATAAGGTTTTAACACTAGCTTGAAAAGGGGTTGCTTATTAGGGGTCGTTTAAATATTACCAACCAGCATGTCTAAAAGCTTAAAATCAAGCTTACGTAAAATTTGAACCGTTCGTACAAACCAAAAACAGTTAAAAGGAAAAACAGGGAAACACAGCAGCACAAAACCAAAAACACCACAACAAAATAGCAAAGTAAACAAATTAACTCACACTGTAACATTATAGAAGTGGTATTCTGTATTCCTACTCACACACGCACACACACTTTGTAACAATCCAGCCATATAACACGTGCGTTTAAAAGGTATAATTATTCTTAATTTGTAATAGTTTAGGTTAATGACCGCGACTCACTCCCTCTGCGGGCATAATGGCACACTGTAATCCAGACGGAAGATAATATCCGACTTTTCGAGATCTAGATAACATTTGGGTGGGATAATTGTCGTGAGCTGAATTTGGGGAAGTGGGTTATTTCGGGATATTTTGGTTGAGATCCCACACAGTATCTGATCAATTGAGTTAAATTGGGTGGTACGAGGCTCAGTGTGCCACTCAACAGTCCGTTAACGGACAGTAATTGGGAGGTTAATTAGATGATTAGTTAATTAGACGATCATCGGAGGAGGTTAATTGAGGTGGAATTGTGAGGAGGTATAAACAAGGGAATGACACAGAGTCTAGGTTAGAAATATGTTTTGTTAGGAGGAACTTTTGAAATTTGATGATATTGGGCGGTGTGATGAATTAACCCTGTTGGACCAATGTGACATATATGTGACAATAACAAAATAAAGTGCTGCATTGTTTTAACGCGCGGAGATAATGCAAACCCGATGGCAATTTCAGTTCAAAAAACTAGTAATCGCGCGTTCCGTAAAGCATACAAATACAAGGTAATATCATACACGATCGCACGGCGAGCTCGCTGAATGAAATGGGTATAATTGCTTTTGCAATATACCTAGACTACAAATGTAGTTTTTAATCAGCAAAACACAAGCTGCCCCAAATTGGAGTCTTCATACTTTAAAATAACACTCTATATTAAATCCAGTTGTCTGGAAGAGGTTTTCCTGAGGTATGTCACGTTTCTTGGCAGGATATCATCTTCATTGTTAAAGTGAGTCCGTGAGTGACTGGGTTGCTAAATTGCAGTGGCTCTGTTAACGCAATGGTGCAAGAAACCACGTGTTCTGTAACTAATGCAATGTAATACTGTCGCCTCCTTCCCCTGACTACATCCCCCCCCCCCCCCCCTCTGTAACGAATGCACAGCAATACTGTAGCCTCCTTCCCCCGGCTACATCCCTCCCCCCCCCCTCTGTAACTAAGCCACAGTAATACTGTCGCGCCTCTCCTTCCCCCGGCTACAGTATCATTGTCACGTGTCACAACAAATTCACCTTCCCATCGGTATTTAGGTCAACCAGTACTGCGCCAGGTAAACTGTGATGACTGTTATTACCAATACAAGATTTTGTTACTTAGGGGTGCCAGTACTTCAAACACAACACCAGTACTCTGTGTGTTATAAAAACAAATCGTCCGCTTTCTTGGTGTCTAAACTTAGGTCTGTTATTTCCTAAGTATAGTCTAGAATTTACTTAAACTTAGGTCTGTTTGAATTATGGAGGTCACGGTTGAATAAACATTCGTCAGCAATTAACCAACACAGTATAAACTTAACAACAGTGTAGCTAACACCACTGTAGATAACAAGGATTTGTTAGTAGGTTAAACTTGTTTGTACTTTGTAGACTTCAGTCCTGAACAGTTGTATTTATTTTTATTTTTGTTAGTAATTAACACATTTTTTCAGGGGTTTGCTTTTTATTTTTTATATTGCCGTTTTGATTTGCAAGTAGGGCTACTGACCAGCGATAAAGATTTATAATACGGATAATTATTAATTAATACTAAAATACTTGTTTCATTGTGTCCCTGCAAATTCACTGTTCAAATATCATTTACATATCATTCAAATATCATACAAATTGTATTCAAATATAATTTAAATCTTATTAAAATTTTATTAAAATATAATTTAAACATTATTATATTAAAACACAAACCTGCCAGAGAGTTAGTTGCCAGGACCGTAGTCAGTATTGCTCCCTTTAATTTTCTTCGAGCGTTGAATTTCTTCAGACCGTCTATTGTTTGTTGTCTGTGAAGTTTGGACGCTACTCTGTCTCTATTCTGTGAACCAATCAGGAGTTAGTATTACTCTCACGTGAAATATAGACAAACAACCAGGAGTTAGTATAACTGTTGGAGACCGAACACAACAAAGCTACAACGCATCTGCAGTGAATACAATTTACTATATTACTTTATTTTATTTGAACATAAAGTCTTTGCCTAAAATGTAACTATCAGTCTAATATAAACGTTACGCTTACACAGTTATTGTGCTCTCACAAGGTTCAATATATACCCCACATCATTTTATTTGAACATGAATTTTAAGGTTTTCATTTGACTAGCTGCACTTTATTTTACCCCATTTTACCCAGTTTTATCCCCATTTAACGCTTTTTTACTGGATGTTTCGTATCATTTTTGTTGAGGAGTTTTTTAGATCTTTCGGTTGATCCGAAAGTTGATGATAGAGAGGGATAATTCACTTGTGGCCTAGAACAATAATTAACAATAATTGTTAATCAACGATTTTAAAAATCAATATTAACAAAATGTCCAAATAAATGACTTTATAATAATATGTTTATATAACGTTAATATCAATTAATTTCCATATTGATAAGATGACTGTGTTATTTTACCTACAGCACAATATAACATATTATTATCTCAACTCTGATCAATTATCATAATAAAATAATCGTAGATAAGGACAATACGCTCAGAAGTTTAAGATGGTTCTATGTCTATTATTCTACACAAATCACGACGTTCTCTTAGTTCATCTAAAAGTTTATCAGTATATTCACATACGTTTCGTCTGTAATCAAATATGATCACTGTTGAGTACACTCTTGCTCTTGATATGGCAATGTAAAGTTCAGGAATCAAGTTACTGTATATTACCTCCTTCTCACTGTTATCAGGTAGTGTAACTGTAGTGCGCTGTGTCCTGTGTCTGCAGATACAGATAACAGCAGCCCACTCAGCTGACACACAGCTCCATGTACCATCCGCCGTTATAATTTTGTTGTCAGTAGTGTTAAATCTCTCTACCGCACTGTCAACAGTATCCAACACATGCTTATCATCACCATCTGTATTGACTAAAACTGCGATATCCTTATTTTTAAGGCAACTGTTAGATCCTCTTAGTTTATCCAACTCTCTGATCAGAATATCTCTCCAGGTAGTAGTTTCATAACCTTTTAACAGATAGATGACAGGTTTACTACCACGAAGAAAGTGGCCTTTCTTGTGTTCTGGTAACTTTACTGACCCAGTCCCGGTATAATCGATTTTCTCGTAGTGTTCCCTTATGATTGACAACACCTCAGATATTTCGTATGTGTTTCTCAGGTTAACTGATAGTTGAGAGTTAACGAAATAACTTCTGAATTCATCATCACTCGTTTTAACTGCAATAAATTCAGGTCTCACATGTATAAGCTTATCATACAAAGATTGTCCGTCATCACACAGTATCCAGATACTAGTATTATTTGTATCGCTGTTCTTTAACACTGGAAGTAGTCCTTCAGATACGATATTTTTATGAGCAGATCCTGATTCTGTGTTAACATCACTAATGATAAAATCAAAGAGTTTCTGATAATCATCACAAAAAACGTAATCATATTTCGTTATCAAATCGTGCATACTTTCAGTCAAACAATCCTCAAATATCAATATAATGATTTTACTGGTGCTATCATACAGCTGTTTTGATAATAATAGGTGTGCTTCCACCAACCTATCACTGATATCACCTTCTTCTTCGCTCACTTCTTCTTCGCTCACTTCGTCTCTGCTCACTCCGTACGTTATTGTCTCACACGTAATATCATGTTTGATATTGTTCAATAGTTGCATGTGATGTTCAAATGCTGGATGGTGATCAAATCCTGCTAACATAATCAGTATCCTCTTCTCTGGTGATGTGAGAGCGAGGTTAATCACTTTTCCCATCATTGCAATAGTCTTTCCAGATCCTGCAGGACCGTTAACAAAAAGAAATCTCTCGTTACTATTAAAGACACCCAGCTGATCTTTCGTCACACTCTTGACTTTTAGGTACTTCTTGAATATGTCAGGTGCATCCACCATCTCATTATTTTCAGGGTAATTCTTCTCTTTCAACTGTTGTTTCTTTTGTTTCCTATTTTTACCACACGATTGGCTTTGTTCAGCTATCTCCTCATCAACTAACTTCTTCGTTACAAGAGCGCTTCTGAGTTTATCATCAATATCGTTGATACAATAGGACAAGCTACATGTTGTATCTGTCCACTTGTTATCTGCGTTTATACACCACAATCCGAGGAGGCAGCATTTAACTGCCACCATGTCTCTGTTCACATCTTCATCACCGACTTGTGGGGGAATGTTAGTGTCAAACCATGCCGTAAAATTATTCAGGTGTCCACTGAACAGCAGAGTTTTATCTGACAAATATTGTTCGTCAACTTCGTCTTGATTGATGTTACTGAAAATAGTAAACTCGTACACGTCCAGTGTCGAGTCCACCGATTTTACGAGTTCCACTATTCTTTTTCTTTGTCGCAACGCATCGTCACGACAAGCTTCAAACTTGACAGAATTCGTATTCTGCACGGAGGAGGAAATACCGTTTCTCCGGACACTGCACTTAGAAATTAACTCTGAACAGCAAGTCTCATATTTGGAAACAGAGAGTCCTTTCACCTCAAAAACTGCTACGAAATACTCGCCTAAAACCACAAAATCGGTTTCTCCTTCCCTGTTTTTATCTGCTTGATGACAAGGGTGCACTTCTATTCCCCTCTTGCACTTCTTCTGGTGACACTGATGACTTGGACGGAAAACAGAATACTGTTCATGGGTATATTCCAACTGATGCAGCACAGTAAAGGGCCTCTTAATCTCCTCGAAACATCTGAATACCTTGACTTCTTCTTCGTATCCATCTTGTCCTTGTAACACAACATCTTCTGGGAGCTTGTCTATAAATCTAGAGTCTGGTATGGGTGGTACCATCATTGGTTTACAAGTATCATCTTTGTTCTGGAAATTTTTCTCCAAAATCTTCCTTCCAATTTCTTCTATGGTTTCCTTACGTAATCCAGGAGACATTATCTAATGAAGATCATTGTAGAAGTTTTTTTAAATAAAGAAATGAAATCAAAAGTATCAGCTTCAGGTCAAGCTAATGCCTGGAGAATAAACATTAGGCACCCAATACTTATTATATCTTTAAATTAGCCAAAACTGACAAGCAGAGGCCACCAAAGAGCTTGTGTTTTGCAATCACTGCGCAAATTTTCTGTGACAGTAGACACCTGATTTAATTATACGATAGCGGGGCAATATAATATACTAGAGAGCTCGTGGTCACATGGAGGAAGCTAATAGTATTCTTTGGTAATCAAGGTTTTATCGCATCAAAAAATATCCGTCACAACCGAAGATACAGCCGAATTAAATGTAAAACACTTCAAACACAAAGTAATTACCACAAAACCGATCAAAATGGCGCTCGCAAATCTTTGCACGTGCACATGCAACTTACTATTTTGTGTCTAATTTGCATGGGAGCATGGGGGCGGTCGTACATACAGACGACAAACAAACATAATCTTTTGAATTATAAGTAAGACTAGAGAGCCCGTGGTCACACGAGGAAGCTAATAGTATTCTTTAGTGGTCAGTTTTTATCGCATCAAAAACTATTCGTCACAACCGAAGATAAAGCCGATTAAAATGTAGCTCGCACTGAACACAACGTAATTATTACAAAACTGATCAAAATATCGCTCGCAAATCTTTGCACGTGCACATTTCAACACCGTTACCATGGTTACTATACAACTTCCTATTTCTCATCTGATTTGCACGTGGGTGGTCGTACATACATACAGAATAATTCTTTGAATGTTGATGATGATGCTTATATGAAACAAAATGAAAATCTCGAGTAGTGCCAAGATTTGGCACTACTAAAAATGTCCGTAATAACGAAATAAAACTCACCAAGTCTCACAACAAAACCAGGGTCCTTATCAACGATAATAGATAACGCTACGCGTGTAACATATTCTCCTAACTTCTAGTTGCTCTACGAATAAAAAAGACTCCACCGACGATTCCCTTATGACACTATCTTCAATGATGAATAAAACAGAATAGAATTCTTCACCGATCTGACCCTTCTACTTATCTATTTTACTCCTGTCCTATCTAAATTACTACTGCCTACAACAAAACAAAACAATACTGGATGTGCTGTACGCAACATGATATGATGGGGAGTGAGAACAATTCTACTCAGCACACTTATTTACACGTCGTTACAATCTTACATCTCCACCTAAATCTTGATGACGTCACGTGATATGTTGATGACGTCACGTGGTATGTTGATGACGTCACGTGATATGATGATGACGTAACGTGATATTGTGATAACATCACGTGGTATCTTGAAATTTTTTCTTTGGCCAGAAACTAGCCAGTTCAATTTTCCTTAGCAAGATATGAAGCTACATTAAATGGAAACATTTGATTGCAGATTTTCATAGTTGCATACACGTGTCTAGTTAAACTATTTCTCGAGGATGAAACAATGGTAACACCGGATATAACACTTTGTTAGGAGTTTAATTGCACGGTGTTTCTCAGTGAGGTGATAAAAAGTCATTCTCACATGTATATCTGTCACGTCATAGTTTGATGACGTCACTTGATATGGTGATGACGTCACGTGATCTGGTGATAATATCACGTGATATGATTATGATACTTAATAGCTGATTAATTTTTGGTGGCCAGATTCCATATATTCTTTCTGTCATGCGGTAGAATCAATTAGAAAAATAAAATTTTTGGGACAAATTTAAAATGTAAATTGGAAAATGATTATACAAGCGTTAATTCGTAAAATATTTTGTAAATTGTGATGATAGATATTATATTTATAATTGGTAACATAATCTAAATTATAAATAAATTGTTCTAAAAACATAAATCGAAATTCTGAAAATGTTGTGCTGCCTAATAAATTCCAGAAATTACTGTTAGTTATAGCTGAGCAGTAACAGTTTTGCGATAACTTATAATTGGACATATTATTATGTGGTTAATATGGTAAAAAACAACAATAATAAAATCTACGCTGAAAATATTTTAAATAGTATTAGTACTTATTTAAATGTAACAAATAATTCCATCTGAAAACGTTAATAATATATAATATAATGAATACAAATATGAAATATTTGGCAATATCATGGCTGAATATCACTATGTTAATTATATCAACATCTTTGGGTTCACGGATTGTTTCAGTCTAATGATAATTAATATTACATTGATAATTCCACAGGTATAAAATTAATAAATTCTGTCACCTAAAAATCAATTTAGGATTTTAGTGAGTTAAAGTAGTGTGATCAATGAAAATCACACCTGGTTTAATCGTGTTCTTTCATCACGTAGTGTGACATTAATTACCCTGCATACTTGAATTAATTACGCTGCATACTTGAATACTCTCTCTCACATACCAACTTTATATGACAATGCTGTAAGAACTCTTTCTCATAAAACTCCTTGTTAAGTTTGAAACATTAGATAACAAGTTCTGACAACACAACTTTCAGTTTTCACTATTCGTTTAACATCATTTCAATTTCTCACGGCACTCAATTATACTACACTTGTTCACACTCGCACGTGCACATATCAGTACCACACTCGCACGTGCACAGATCAGTACCACACTCGCACGTGCACATATCAGTACCACACTCGCACGTGCACAGATCAGTACCACACTCGCTCGTGCACATATCAGTACCACACTCGCACGTGCACAGATCAGTACCACACTCGCACGTGCACAGTTCAGTACCACACTCGCAGGTACACAGATCAGTACCACACTTGCACGTGCACAGATCAGTACCACACTCGCACGTGCACAGATCAGTACCACACTCGCACGTGCACAGATCAGTACCACACTTGCACGTGCACAGATCAGTACCACACTCGCACGTGCACAGATCAGTACCACACTCGCACGTGCACAGATCAGTACCACACTCGCACGTGCACAGATCAGTACCACACCGCACTCGTACGTTTTTCCACATTCACAGTGATCACCATTCCGTCGTAAGAATGCTTTTTGAGCAGACGTTTTTTGAGGGGCATTGCACTATTTCCTGCTCCTCGCTGTAATTAATTAAGTGATTAATTAATCAAGTAATTATGGAATTAATTAATTAGGTTGCATAGTTCAGTTAAATGTCTTTTATCGCCGAGATTTCTAGAAATTTTATTTGGGTATCGTGTTTGTACGTTTGATTTATTAAATATGAAGTAAAGAATAATTCATCACGATTCACGTCACAACGAAAAATGACGTCACGTAGCAGTAAAGTGACGTCACGTGGCAGCTTAAGGACATCACGCGAGAAAGTGAATACGTCGTGTGAAATTTTGACAGTATAATAATGACGTCACGTGACAGTATAATGACGTCACGTGACAGTATAATGACGTCACGTGACAGTATAATGACGTCACGTGACAGTATAATGACGTCACGTGACAGTATAATGACGTCACGTGGCAGTGTACTTACAGCTATCCAAGGATGTTTCAGAGCGTCCGATGCTGAAAAACGTTTCTCTGGGTCCACTGACAGCAAACTATCGATCAAATTCTGGAACAAAATAACATAATTTAAATTATTGTTACATCAGATTGTGGCATTACACTTTCAAATTATGAATTAATTTCAGATTTTGGTACTATATACTTTTTACAAAAGATTCTGTAACTCCAAGTAAGATAAATTACGTAACTTCTTTAAATATACATTTAGAGCAGAGAACTTAAAATACACTCAGATAATTAGCCATCAGTTAGATCAGGAAGATGTAGCAAAACTATTTAGAATATTTTATTTATTAATTTAATTGTCAATATATTGACAGGTAGATCGCAAATTTCCAGTTTCATAACTTCGAGACCGCCATCTAAGTACTTTGTTATAAGTAGTAATAGTGTATAGTGATGGTCCAATAGGTCAAATGGTGTGACCTCATGTCACGTGGTTTGAAATAATGTCACGTGGTTTGATATCATGTCACGTGGTTTGAGGTCATGTCACGTGGTTTGATATCATGTCACGTGGTGTGACGTCATGCGTCAAATTTCAAGTCGAAATGACCCATGATTTTCGCAAAACTCTATTTTTGAAAATCATGCAATCTAAATAATTATAAATTAAAAACCGGCACAAAAAAGCTGGGATAAAGAATAAAACAGACCTTAGCTTCGCTAGTTACAGGATCCCATTCTGGAGACGGATACTGAAATAAATTAGCTGGTTAGTTTCCAGAGGTTAGTTCCCAGAGGTTAGTTCCCAGAGGTTAGTTCCCAGAGGTTAGTTCCCAAAGATTGTTTTCTGTTAACACCTTTTCCCGAATTCCCATATCCAAAACATTCCCAGGTAATTCCTCTTACCTATTATATATATTACCTATTATATAAATTATAATGGTAAAAATGAATTACGTGTATTATTATTTATTTCCAGTCTAAAACTTTAAGTGTCATGTATATTGTATATAGTCGACATACAGATAAGTACGGTTATAGACGTTAAAAATTTTAAAGTTTATTCCAAAAATGGAGTGCAAAATTCGGTTATTTTGCAGGAATGATAGTACCGAATGATCTTTTAAGCATGTGATGATACGATGATACTATGTCATTATTTTGATACTGATACATCGGGGGGGGGGGGGGGCCAATGGCATAAAATGGCATAAAATGGCATAAAATGGAGACTTTTTCTATGGAGAAAATGGAAAAACCCATGAGTAATTCTCCATTTTCTCCATTTTATGCCATGAATTTTGTCTTCGAAATTTCATCTTTAACACCATTTAACACCTAAATTGGACATCCTAACATGTTTATTTACGCTTACTAGGGGCGTAACAAGCTTATGAAAGCTCATAGTAGGCTACTAGATGCTTATACTAGGTTAGTAGAGGCACACTTCAGGCAAACTCATAATTACTCAAGCCTAGTGTAAAGTTATTTCTACAGGCTACAGCAGGAGTGAGTAATAGGGAGAGTAATAGGCACTGCGAAGTGAGACCTACATCCTCGAAAGTCGAAACAAGCTCGCACTGCATAGGGGAGGCCTGCCTTCCGAGATTGCATTACCAGGGGAAGCCTCGAGTCCAAATTTGTGTATCGAGGGGTAGGTGCAGACTTCGATAAACCGAAAAACCAAAAAAATATTTTCGGCTAATAATGAAGAGGGTAGCATGAAACGTGGAGAAAAGTGGTTTTTAGAAAAACTTTGAAAAATTTTGACTTAGAAAATTTTCGGCCCGAGTCATTCTCGATACGTACCTCTCGTATCGAGAGCTCCCGATTCCGAGCTCGTGTTGCAAAGGGGAGGCCTGCCTTCCGAGATCGCATTACCAGGGGGAAGCCCGAAGCCTAGAGTCCAAAATTGTGTACCGAGGGGTAAATTTCTAAGTCAATATTTTTCAAAGTTTTTCTGAAAAACACTTTTCTCCACGTTTCATGCTACCTTGTTCATTATAAGCCGAAAATATTTTTTCGGTCAAAACTTTTGGAGAAAAGTGGTTTTTAGAAAAAACTTTGAAAAATTTTGACTTAGAAAATTTTCGGCCCGAGTCATTCTCGATACGTACCTCTCGTATCGAGAGCTCCCGATTCCGAGCTCGTGTTGCAAAGGGGAGGCCTGCCTTCCGAGATCGCATTACCAGGGGGAAGCCTAGAGTCCAAAATTTTTCAAATTTTTTTTCTGAAAACCGCTTTTCTCCACGTTTCATGCTACCCTTGATACATGTTACGTATCCCAAATATCAGAGATAGCGCGAAAAGTGGCATGCAACGTATGTCATTGCTACCCTGTTCATTATTTGCCGAAAATATTTTTTCGGTTTTTCGAAGTCCACACCTTCCCCTCGATACACAATTTTGGACTCGAGGTAATGCGATCTCGGAAGGCAGGCCTCCCCTTTGCAACACGAGCTCAGAATCGGGAGCTCTCGATACGGGAGGTACGTATCGAAAATGACTCGGACCGAAAATTTTCTGAGTCAACATTTTTCAAAGTTTTTCTGAAAACCACTTTTCTCCATGTTTCATGATACCCTGTTCATTATTGGCCGAAAATATCTTTTTTTTTTAATAATTTTTCTCGAAATTCTAAATTTTTCAGGTTTTTAATGGCATAAAATGGCATAAAATGGCATAAAATGGAGACTATTTCTATGGAGAAAATGGAAAAACCTATGAGTAATTCTCCATTTTCTCCATTTATGCCATTGGCCCCCCCCCCCCCCCCCCCCCCCCGATACATCACCGTATCGGGTAGAAGAGAATGATATATCGGTATCAGGCACAGACAACTTTTATTAACCTTCAATTCTTATGATTTTCTTTAAATCATCTACAGTACCTACATTAACATCTACAGTACTTACATTAACATCTAAAGTAGCTCTTTAAATATCATAGCGGGTTTAGATATTATGTAATTCTATTTATTTTCTTTATTGTTTATTTTCCAATGCCGCCAGTCTGGGCATCTTCAGCTAAAGTTGCGCAGTCGAACTGTCGCGATTTGATGAAATTACTATAGAATATAATATTCAGATGTAATTTACTATTTAGTATTCGACAACTTGTCTGCGTGGGATTAACTAGGATAATTAAGTAGAGTAAAACCCGTTTACCGCGGTTAATTGGGGTTTTGTTTGTTTACATTATGTATGTTAGGCCCTATTTGGGGAGAGGAAACGGCCGCGGTAAATCGAGCGCAGTCAATCGGGGTCAATACTGTAATAAGGATAATTAAGATAATTAGGATAGTTAAATTAATTAGGGTAAGTCAGATAATTAAGATAATTAGGTTGGGTAATATTTGTTCATAATTCAGCACTGAACATCAGTAATCAGAAGTTACACATCATACATTCATATTACATCACGGCCGCGAAAAGGTGACTGCTAAAAGTTAGAAATTGCAATCGAATTTCCACTAAAAAGCTCGAGAATTGGAGACTAGCTTTTTACGGCTGTGATTTTGTGGTGTTGCCGATATTGCAATGGACAATTCACTAGAAGCAGCAGTGATTAAAACTATAAGTCAGATCCTCTAATTTAAGATCTCTAATTTAAGATCTCTAATTTAAGATCTCTAATTTAAGATCTCTAAGTTAAGATCTCTAATTTAAGATCTCTAAGTTAAGATCTCTAATTTAAGATCTCTAATTTCAGATCTCTAATTTAAGATCTCTAATTTCAGATCTCTAATTTAAGATCTCTAAGTTAAGATCTCTAATTTAAGATCTCTAATTTAAGATCTCTAAGTTAAGATCTCTAATTTAAGATCTCTAAGTTAAGATCTCTAATTTAAGATCTCTAATTTCAGATCTCTAATTTAAGATCTCTAAGTTAAGATCTCTAAGTTAAGATCTCTAAGTTAAGACCTCTAAGTTAAGATCTCTAAGTTAAGATCTCTAAGTTAAGATCTCTAAGTTATAGTCTCTTAGTTAAATTCTTCAGCTTCATATCAGGGTTGAATTGAGAAATATAAAATAATTTCAAAATAATTTCAAAATAATTTCAAATAAGTAGCCATCATCCAGTCTGTGTCCTTCATAGCAACATTTGATGTGTTCCTGCAACTTATCATTGATATTACCAAAATCTCTGTGTATCCATTTACAAACCATTTATAAAATTAACATTTTGTAACATTGTTCTCGATAATGTGGTTATCGATAAATTTGACACAATCGAGCTGAGACATAAATCACGCGATCGCAGGTTATTGTGCTGTTTGATGACGTCACGTGACAGTGTGATGATGTCACGTGACGTCATTGTCCACAGTCTAATGACGTCACATCACAGTGCAATGACGTCACGTAACAGTGCCATGGTGTCACGTGATTGTAAGATGACAAAACATTCGTCGATTACAAAACCATTGCAACCCAACCATTTCTGCCGTAATTTGAGAATTTTTACATCGATTATTCCATATTAAGGAAAGCACACTAAAGATTCTCTGTGACAGACTGACCACGGAATATTACAATTACAGTGAATATCTTTCTTATATTAATGCTCTATTTTCTGGCATTATTCGGATTGCAAGTCACATGTTGGCTTATTCTTGGGTTTAAGTTTGATGAAACAGCGAATAAAATGGTAAAAACTGAAATTTCAGCTTTACAATATAATACTTGAGATTTGAATATGTTTAATGATAGATATATTTCAAATAACCCCCTTCATAATGGTGCAATATGTGACAGAAATGGTATATTTTATATTTTTATCAGCTTATTGGTGACTTGATGATGGCTGACAGCTGAGAAGGATCTTGTAAAGGTCAGAAGCTATTGGAGGATTGGAAGTTAAGTAGATGGTATTATTAACTAAAGCTAAAGAATATTATAGTTATTTTACCCATATTATAGTTATTTTACCCGTAAATTACTGGTTAGTACCCATAGAAAAGTCCCCCTCCAGAAATAAAATGTCCCTCCCCTAAAATCATAAATCCCCCTCCCTTTTTTTAGAGTAGTACTTACATCGTAGTCTCCGTGCACTATTTGTTCGTACATTTTGTACTTGTCTTCGTCCCAGAATGGAGGATATCCCGCCAGCAAAATGTAGAGTACCACACCTGAAAAATAAATAAGTCAAATTGTTTATCTCGAATATAGAATGTCGTGGACAATTCCAGAAAAAAATCACAAATAATTTTATGTTTTAAAAAAGGACCACATAACAGTCAACACCGGAGTATTGAAAAAATAAGTCTAACTATTTCCTCTTAAAACATGAGACGCGCATCACAACAAGATGCTAGGGTTGTAGAGCAAGGAGGGACATTGAGCATTCATTACCACATAAATAAACATAGCTGTAATAATTGTATAACAATTGTTATCATTATTATAAATCAACATAACTGTATACTTTCTTAGTATAGAGCCTCGGCACAGAGGCTCTATAGGGTTACTGAAAAGGAGATAAGCACCTCAGGCCATCCCAACTTGTGGGAGAGACCTGCCCTTGTATCTTGTTTGTGTATACTTTTATTTCACCTACAGAAGGATGGAACTAACTTGTGAGATGAAACTGGGAGGTGAAGGATACCTTTAGTTTGTACTGTGACATATGAGTCACTCTACAATCATTTCTAGGACACCCAGTCTGTGGTCACCAGGTTAATCATTGTAATGGAGATGGGATATCGTCACGTGACAGTTTCATAAAGTCACGTGACTTTTTGGAGAGTGTTTTAATTTCCATCAACATTATATCACGACCACGAAAAGATTTTCATAGCTGTGCTATAGACAAAAGTATACTTTTCGTTCAACATTTTATATGGATATTGTAGTGAATATAACTTTGTAGAGTAACAATATTGATGTGCTCTACATAACACAGTACACTGTATTAATATAATACAGATTAAACAGTGATATCATGATAAGAGGTCTGACTGGTAACAGTGTGATGACGTCACGTGACAGTGTGATGACGTCACGTGACAGTGTGATGACGTCACGTTACAGTGTGATGATATCACGTGACAGTGTGATGACGTCACGTGTAATTGTCATGATAAGAGGTCTGACTGGTAACTCCACGGTGACTCCATCAGATAACAGTTGTTAATCTTAGTTAGTTTGTAACACAATACACCCCTCCGTGCTTGAATCACTTAGTTACACTGTTAAGACACGGATACTATCCCCAAGTTTTAACAGAGTATCTCTCACGCTGGTAGAGTGTCAAATATTATGTGAATACTGGTGGGGAGGCAGATTGGTAAATGTCAAAGTTCATTTTTATTGAGGTTATCTTGTGTGCTTATGTCAACATTCTTCGTCAGACCAATAAGAACGCAGTATCACAGCCATGTGACACAAACCAAATACCAATCAATCAGAACGCAGTATCACAGCCATGTGACAGAAACCAACCAATCAGAACGCAGTATCATATCCCAGCAGTATCCCAGTATTGCTATGAAACCATTAATTTGAGAAGTGAATTTATTTTAGTGATTATTTTAGGAAACACAAACTCACAAACTGCCTTGAAATAAATTGATTCTGACTTAGTTCTCGATTAAATCATTAAAATTCGCGAAAATTTATGTCTTTGAAGATAATTCACTTCTATAAAATCGTAAGAATAAGTGCCCGCAAAATATCTGGCTAAGTCTAAACATATGTATCTTATAAGGAGTCTATTCGGTATAATAATGAACTAATTTCAGCACATTAAGCTACAAAATTATGCATTAGATGAAACATTTGGTCCAATCTAAGAGATTTACTCGTTGATTTGTCTCAATATAATATGTACATGGTATGTGCTGAATGTATAGTATGATTTTACGATCATTTATATTGTATATTACTCTGATTTACATTTTACTGTATACTATTACCCTTATAAAACTTACATATATTACCCTTATGTACACTGTATATTACCACATTGCAAAATGTATATTATATCACCATAATATACACTGTATACTACCATGATAAAGTACAAACAGTACATAATCAATAAATGTTTTTGCCATGAAACGGACCAAACTGATCCTAACTCATATTCCACTCATCATAGCATATCGCTTCAGCATGTACAAAGGGCATAACCTCAATCAGTTTAATGTAGTGAAATGACTGGTGTGAATGAAGTAGTGTACTAATACAAGTTGGAGAGGATCAGGTAAGCTTAGTCAGCATCCATGATGTTACAAACCCTCTGGGACATTACTGCGCCCAGTCTCCAAAGTTACAGTATATTCCTACTACGGACAAACAAACACAGACAAAACACCAACAAGAAACTGATATACACTAGCTAGCTCAGAGAGGAAATGAGTACAAACAGTACATTACCCTTTATAAATTACATTGTATATTACCCTTAATACACACTATACAATAAACATAGTACACAATCCAATGTACACTATACATTACCTATTACCCTAATAATGTATTACAATTTCCACACACTTTAATTTCTACTGACCCCGGTTCAGGATATGAGAGCCTCTCTTACCGTGCATTTAGAGCAATTAACCTCGACCAATCAGGGGACAGTATCCCAGCCACGTGACACAAACCAACCAATCAGAACGCAGTATCTGCTGGTCATGTGATTTGAACTTACCATTAGGAGGTGGATGGGTGTAAGGAGCGATTAAAGCAGATTTGGTGCTGGAAAAGAGCTGAATAGGTACTGTACAGGGTAGAGAGAGAGAGAGAGAGAGAGAGAGAGAGAGAGAGAGAGAGAGAGAGAGAGAGAGAGAGAGAGAGATAGAGAGAGAGAGAGAGAGAGAGAGAGAGAGAGAGAGAGAGAGAGAGAGAGAGAGAGAGAGAGAGAGAGAGAGAGAGAGAGAGAGAGAGAGAGAGAGAGAGAGAGAGAGAGAGAGGGGGGGTGGGGGGTGGGGGGTAATACAGTAATACAATGTGCTTTATACTTTTATAGTTCATGGATGATAGGATATTTTATATTCACCAATGTGGCCTTGCGAATATTTCTGTGGACATGCTAAGTAAGGTGACATAAATTATTCATTATTTAACAGACACTAGTACATGTACTATGTATACGAAACATGTTCTGATTAAGTCTTTATTTCGACTACACTATACAGTATACAATGACTTACAACAAACCCTGCAGACGTGACCCAAACCAACCAATCAGAGCACAGCATCTGGTCACGTGAATTAGAGTGCAGAACCTGGAGTAATCGTCCTGGACCTTTGATAGAGTAAACCATTATAGACTCCTCTAGACCAAGACAGATTTCACGAGCAACTGTTGCATTTGACCGACTAATAAAGCTTTCTCCTATTGTCCTTGGAACTGTGCTATTGGCGGAAACATTGTACAGTCGGCATAACCAGTCTCTAGCTAAATGGTTTAAGTGTTCTAACTAACGTTCAGTATATTTGGTAGATTGAGAACTGTGGTAGATTGAGAACTGTGCTGTATTTGGTAGATTGAGAACTGTGCTGTATTTGGTAGATTGAGAACTGTGCTGTATTTGGTAGATTGAGAACTGTGCTGTATTTGGTAGATTGAGAACTGTGCTGTATTTGCTGGATTGAGAACTGTGCTGTATTTGGTAGATTGAGAACTGTGGTAGATTGATAACTGTGCTGTATGTAGTAGATTGAGAACTGTGCTGTATTTGGTAGATTGATAACTGTGCTGTATTTGGGAGATTGAGAACTGTGTTGTATTTGGTAGTTTTAGAACTGTGCTGTATTTAGGAGATTGAGAACTGTGTTGTATTTGGTAGATTTAGAACTGTGCTGTATTTGGTGGATTGAGAACTGTGATGTATTTGTGAGATTGAGAATTGTGCTGTATTTGCTGGATTGAGAACTGTGCTGTATTTGGTAGATTGAGAACTGTGGTAGATTGATAACTGTGCTGTATGTAGTAGATTGAGAACTGTGCTGTATTCGGTAGATTGATAACTGTGCTGTATTTGGGAGATTGAGAACTGTGTTGTATTTGGTAGTTTTAGAACTGTGCTGTATTTGGGAGATTGAGAACTGTGTTGTATTTGGTAGATTTAGAACTGTGCTGTATTTGGTGGATTGAGAACTGTGATGTATCTGGGAGATTGAGAACTGTGCTGTATTTGGTAGATTGAGAACTGTGCTGTATTTGGTAGATTTTAGATTGAGAACTGTGCTGTATTTGGTAGATTGAGAACTGTGGTAGATTGATAACTGTGCTGTATGTGGTAGATTGAGAACTGTGCTGTATTTGGTAGATTGATAACTGTGCTGTATTTGGGAGATTGAGAACTGTGTTGTATTTTGTAGTTTTAGAACTGTGCTGTATTTGGGAGATTGAGAACTGTGTTGTATTTGGTAAATCTAGAACTGTGCTGTATTTGGTGGATTGAGAACTGTGTTGTATTTGGTAGATTGAGAACTGTGTTGTATTTGGTAGATTGATAACTGTGTTGTATTTGGTAGATTTATAACTGTGATGTATTTGGGAGCTTGAGAACTGTGCTTTATTTGGGAGATTGAGAACTGTGTTGTATTTGGTAGATTGATAACTGTGCTGTATTTGGGAGATTGAGAACTGTGTTGTATTTTGTAGTTTTAGAACTGTGCTGTATTTGGGAGATTGAGAACTGTGTTGTATTTGGTAAATTTAGAACTGTGCTGTATTTGGTGGATTGAGAACTGTGCTGTATTTGGTAGATTTAGAACTGTGATGTATTTGGGAGATTTAGAACTGTGCTGTATTTGGGAGATGGAGAACTGTGCTGTATTTGGTGGATTGAGAACTGTGTTGTATTTGGTAGATTGAGAACTGTGTTGTATTTGGTAGATTGATAACTGTGTTGTATTTGGTAGATTGAGAACTGTGGTAGATTGATAACTGTGCTGTATGTGGTAGATTGAGAACTGTGTTGTATTTGGGAGATTGAGAACTGTGTTGTATTTGGTAAATTTAGAACTGTGCTGTATTTGGTGGATTGAGAACTGTGCTGTATTTGGTAGATTTAGAACTGTGATGTATTTGGGAGATTTAGAACTGTGCTGTATTTGGGAGATGGAGAACTGTGCTGTATTTGGTGGATTGAGAACTATGTTGTATTTGGTAGAT